TTTTTTCTTTTGACTAGTGCTTGGATGCTTTGAAGTTAACCTGCCTTACAATCATCGATGCCTCGCCGACGCGGGGGAAAAAGAAGCGCGGCCCAGCCCCTGCACCGCCGCCGCCGCCGCCTGCAAGACGCGGAGACGCGCTACAGTTTAGGGTGCTTCTTCTCAGCGACGGGAACCACCGCGCAACCCTCGCCGGCCGGCCTCTCTTCTCCGGCCAGGAAGCGCCTCATGCGCTCCTCCACGCACACGCCCGCCTTGCCCAGCTCCTCCGACACAGGGAAGTGGTCTGGCGTGAGCGCCAGCAGGTGCACGCGCGGGACGGCGGCTGGGTGGATTGTCGGCAAGCCCCGCGCATTCGGCAGACGGATCGCCCATCCGCAAATATCCACGGCGGAATTCGGCGGTTTGCGGCCGTAGTCCGCGGAGCGGTGAAGCGCACTGTGCCGCATGCGGTGGCCAAACGCCCACCGTTCTGGACGCCGAAAAGGACCGCATTGGAGCGGCGCAGGAACTTGCTGCTTCGCCGCCTCGCACAGCAGCGACGAACGCGTCTCCGCAATGTCGCATTTGCTCGCTGAATGGAGCGGTGCTCGCGACCGGTGCCGGGGGAGGCGGCAAGCTGCGGCCTCGCCAGGGCAGTCTGCGCCCCGCGCCCCGCCAGTGTGCCGGTTGCGGCGGCGGATGGCCGACCCACCGCCACAAAGGAGCGCGCCGACACCTTGGCGCGAGTGTGCGCCGCCACGTCTGATTTCCCTTTTGGGGAGCTTGACGCTGCGTTGCGGGAGGTGCGTCTCCGGAGTGCGCCGGGGCTTGGTGCGCTTCACTGCGAGGCCCTGCACCAACCGCCCCTCGCCGCCTGCAAGGAACTCGCGGCCGCGTTCAACAGGAGCATCGGCGACGGTGGCACTCCGGATTCCCGGGAAGTGGGCATTGTGACTATCCCGCCCCTCAAGCCTGGGAAGCCGGGCAAATGATTCCCGCCTCGCTTCGGCCCGTCGCCCTCACTAGCTGCCCGCGCAAGCTCGTGGAAAGAATTGTGGCGCGACGCATCCGCGGCACTGTTGAAGCCCAACTTCTTCCCCAGCAAGCTGGGTTTCGCCCTGGTCGCTCCACGCTGGATCCGCTGACTCGCCTGATTGCTGGGATCATTTCACCATGGCAAGCGGGGGAAGGTCGGTGCGGTGCTAGTGGGTCACGCTGGGGCCTTCGGCTCGGTTGATCGCGGCCGCATCCTTCACGCACTCCGCGCGCACAAGGTGGCGCCGTGCCTGAGCCGGTGGGAGGCGGACTTCCTGCACAGCCGCGCGGCCAAAAGCCGCGTGTACAAAATGCGCTCTCCGCACCGGTTCATTTCACCCGCGGCGTCCCGCAGGGTTGCGTGCTCGGCCCGCTGCCGCCCACCGTTGCCGCGAACAGCCTCGGTGAGGAACCGGTGTGCATCCCCAACCTTGAACTCGCTTTCTTCACTGATGACTTGACCGCCACCACTCGTGCCACCGAGAGAGGGAGAGGCGCTATGGAGTGCACGCTGCGGCAGGCGTTGGGCTGCACTTAAAGATGGGCGGAGCAGGACAACATGGAGACCAGCGCCGTGAAGAAGTGCGCGCTGTCTTGGCACCGCCCTCACGGAAAGCCTGCGGCCGCACGCGGGAGGGGCCCGCTTGTCGCAGGATTACCTCCCGCGGTCGTCGGGGCGGTTTTGACCCAGCCATTGCGCGGGGTTGGCCGGCAGGCGCGGGGGTACTTCGCCGTCGCAAAAACAAGACTTATGGAGATAAAGGCGGCGTCTGAGAAAACGCGGGGGCCAAAATGCGAGACGCTTCGTCCGCCGCCCAAGACCCTCACTGTTGGGTCCCCCAACTCCTCTACGGAGCAGTGGCGCGCTGCAACACGGCTTCGCCGTCGGCGCTGGAGCGCCGGGAGAAGCTCCACACCCGCGCCGCCGGCGTCATCGCTGGCGTTCCCGTCAGGGCCTCTCGGGCGGCTGCTGAAGAGGAGGCTCGTCTTCTCTCGCTGGAGGGTGCTGCGTCGGTGCGGGGTGCCAACTGCAGTAGTGCGTACGCGACGGCGGGTTAGGGCGACACGCCGAGGCTCTTTTCCCGCCTTCCAACCCGACAAACTCAGCCCTCCGCCTGATGGCGGGTAAGTTGCACGAGCGTGGGTGCTTTTGGCACGCCCCATTGCTGCGGGGCCCCTCGATGCCGCCAACGCGCGTATGTACCTTGACGCGTCGCCGCCGGGTGGATTGGGCGCCGGTGCCGATCCGGAGGAGAGACACAAGGGATGCATGCTGCTGGCGGAGTCGAAGGCGCATGCCGTCCTCTACACTCCCAATGGGCGGACAGCTCCGTGGAGCTCGGAGTGGGGACTGGCGGCGCCGCCCGCTCAACTCAGCGCCAGGCGCGCGTACGTGCAGCGTGAAGTGTGGCGGCGGCCCTCTGGCGTGCGGCAGCGGGGTGAGGTACCAGGCCACGCAACGGGGCCCCGCTGAGCTCCTGCTATGCGTTCTGAAAACGTCCGGCAGGCGCGTGGCGGGCGTATTTACAGCCTCACCGTCGCTTTTCCTGAGCGCACATGGAACGGGCCCGACCCAAGTTACGGACCGGGTGCTCCGCCGCATTTGGAGCGTCATTGCCGGCCCGCTCCGTCGTGGCGCGTGCGCCTGCGTTTTAACTTCATTTTTTTGGGCGCGCCGGCGCCCCTCACACACACAGCGAGGCGGCTGATGAACTTGCGAAAGCAGCGCTGGGGAAAGTTCAGGACGCACCCGCGCGGATGGCGGACATCCGCACCGCCACCCGCCGCCGCCGCGCACAGAAAACTGAGGGGGCCGCCATTATCCCCGCAGGACCCGACAGCCAGCGCCGGCGCCTCGTCGTGGATGGCGCGAGTCCGCAAACAGCCCCGCCGACGCGTGCAGGGGAGTTGGTTATGGCGCGGTGCTGCGCGGGCGCCTCGCCTCACTTGGGTGGGCCGCGCAGCCAACAGCCCTCCCAAAAAAAAATGTACGATGGTGTCGGCTGCCCCGAGCATAGAGGA